GCTTGCAATCGATCACTTACACTTCAAAGCTCAATGTTTCCTGTCACAAAACGCTTTCAGTACCATTCTTTGCCTTTTGTTTAATTTAAAATTAGGCAAACTTTAAAAAGTACCATTTAGATGTCTAGGAATCATCTTTCAGCTTCCTTTAGATAAAAACAAAAACGATTTGCGCAGGCCGGGAACCGAACCCGGGTCGCCCGCGTGGCAGGCGAGCATTCTACCACTGAACCACCTGCGCGCTGAGCAATTGGGGAAATTGTGGACCTATAAACGCTCGGCTTCTCAAAAGCTCCACTGATCGCCGAGTTTCGTTACAAATTCGTACAACTACGTCCTCCGCGTGTTCTACCCGCAACCAAAACGCTAGACGAGTTTTTAAGGTTTGACGCAGGCGACTATTGGTTTAAACGTCGGATCCCGTTAATCTGGAACGCACATGGCATTTTCAAACGATTACCCTTTAAATTGGAGCATTTTGAGTGCAACTCTTTGTCACTGGACCGGCTCTTCACGAGCGTACCTTGTACTTGCGAGGATAAACGCACGCCTTCCGGTGCACGTCAATTTCCCATTTTCCGAGAAATAAAGAGATCTCCACACGCCCGAAAGGTGCTTACAATTTCTCAAAAATTGTCAGCGGTCCTTTCTCTCCTCGAAAATCGCTTATCTTTTTCGAATTCTGGGTAAACAATGCTATCTTTTGTGTCGGCTTTCTGCCGGGAGGTGGTCATTGTGAATTTCTAAATTTCAAAATTTCTCAATTCCCCGGTGCTACAGTCAAAAAATTTTCAGAATGGCCACCCCGTCGCTGCGCCTCTCGTCCGGACACTCAATTCCGGCTCTCGGATTGGGCACATGGCTCTCGAAACCGGGCGAGGTTTGTTCGCTTGGCCATTTACCAGCTCTTTTTGTTTTTTTTGCGAATCTGCTCTCAAAATGTGGCCCTTGTGGCCAAATGTGGCCCTTTTAATTGGGCTACACGATGGCACGAAAAACTCTTGTTTAGTAAAAGAAAAATGGCCGGAAAGTGAGCAAAATGGCCGTAATTTGTACATCGCAATACAAACTACGACGTGCCGTCTTTTTTTTACATCTTTGGTACGTCTTTTTTCGTCGTTGTTTGTATTGTGTTGTACAATCGGTGCTCTCACTTTGCGCCCATTTTTCTTTTCCTAAACAACAGTTTTTCGAAAGGTTTTTTGTACTATCGTGTAGCCCAATTGAAGGGTCACATTTTGAGAGCAGACTCGCAAAAAGCGAAAACGCTGGTAAATGGCATTTTTCGTTTTTACACAGCGCCGTAATCTTCATGATCTCTAATCGAATTTCCGCAGGTCGGTCAAGCGGTCGAAATGGCGTTGAAAGCCGGCTATCGCCACATCGACTGCGCTCACGTATACGGAAATCAAAAAGAGATCGGCGAAGTGTTCGCCAAAGTTTTCGACGGACAATTGCAGGTCGGTTGACGTTCTTTGTGCTTCTTTGTGCTTTGTGCTTCCCCCCCTCCAAACGCATCTTTTCTGGCCTACTTGATCTTTTCGCATTTCAGCGATCCGATGTGTTCGTCACTTCGAAAATCTGGAACACTTTCCACTCGTACGAGAAAGCGAAAGAGGCAGTGGACATCATTTTGGGCGAATTGCAGCTGGGTGAGTGGTGACGGCTCTTTCTTTTACAAGATTTTGATAAACTCAAGCAATTACGGCTTCAGACTACGTCGATCTGATGCTGATCCATTGGCCGATGGGCTACGAGGAGGGAAACGAGATCTTGCCGAAGGTGGGCGAAAGTTGACTTCTTTTTCTCCTATATCAATTTCTTGCAGACGCCGGACGGGACAAAGATTCGCTACTCGAAAGAGGACTATTTGGGCACTTGGAAAGCGCTCGAAGAAGCGGTAAACGACGGGAAAATACGGTAAAGAATACGGCAAAGCTTTTGCACCAAAATCTTTACCGTAATCTCCGCTAAACCCTCGCCTCTTTTCGTTTTCAGCTCGCTCGGCTTGTCCAACTTCAATCACAAACAAATCGAACGACTCATCGGACACTCGAGAATCAAGCCCGCCGTTTTGCAGGTGAGTTAAAAAAACAATTTTTTTTTAAAGCTTAAACTAAAATGAGTTCAAACAGGTCGAACTGCACCCGTACTTTCAACAAAAAAAACTCCGCGATTTCTGCAAAAAGCACCAAATTGTCGTCACCGCCTATTCGCCTTTGGGAAATCCGACGAATCCTTTCCGAAAAGTTTGCTCTCCAAATTAAATTAAATTAAAATTAAAAGACAAGAAAAGTACCGTAGCTCGTGATTCTTTTCGAACACTTGAGAGTGCTTTCGTCTTTCTCTTTTCCATTTGATTCGATTCTAGAGTTGATCTATGTATTGGGAAACAGTCAGAGTACCCAAAAAGTTGGCTTACTTTGGCCAAAAAGTTGGCTAAAATCGAATTTCTTTCAGACCGGCGATCCGTCGATTCTCACCGACGAGGTGGTGCTGAAAATCGCGGAGAAATCTGGAAAAGTGAGTCCAAGTGGAGATATTGGGTTGTCCAGTTATGAATGCGCGTTTTTTACTATTTTGTAAATTTCTCAAGATACCGAAATCAAGAAAAAGATATATATGAGTATTATTCGAAAGCTGAAGATCTCCTCTACATTTTGATATAAAAAGTTTTTGAATTTGTCCAGCTTTTGGGTAAATTGACTGCACAGAAGAAGAGGTGGCCAAAAAAATGGAAGGGTGCCTTTGGATCAAGTTTTGGCTCCGCTCAAATTGAGTTAACCGTTTGATGTTTGGCCAATAGATGTATCAATACAACTTTTTTTAAAATATAACAAATTCAGAGCATCTTTACTTTTCTTTTCTTTTCTGGGCGGTTATTTTACACCATAAAACTTGAGGAATAGCTAAGCTGAAATGGGTTTTTTTGAAAACGACCTCTCCCTTTGTGCAGTCAATTTTCCAAAAAGTTGAATGAATTTCAAAGCTTTTTATATCAAAATGTAGAGGAGATCTTCAACTTTCGAATGGTATATAACACTCATACATCTGTTCGATATCTTGAGAAATTTACAAAATAGTAAAAACACGCATTCATAACTGGACAACTCAATATTTTTGAATCGGTATTTAATTTTACGCTTTTTTAATATAATAATTTTAATATAATTATAGCATACCTGTGGATTTCTCAAAAAAATGAGTTTTTTAAAAGGTTTTCTCAAAAGTTTCCAAATAGAAAAGGTGTTTTATTTCAATGCGAAAATGGTCATAAACACCGATTTTGCATAGCAAAGCTTTTAAAGGAGAATTCGTTTCGGAAAACTTTCGGAGAAGAAAAAAACCCTTCCAAAAGTCATTTTGTAAGTCATTTTGCACTGAAAACAGCCGAAATTCGACTTTCGACTTGGCACTTTCCGCTTCGACTTAGAAACTTAGCTTCGACTGGGAACTGACCCAACCGCTCGCTCGATTCCTTTACTCCCAATTCATTCTTGTGAAAACGAATGCGAACTACCCTGCTTCATATAATTATAGCTCCACCTATCGATATTTTTCAAAAGTTTCAAGAGAAAAGGTGGAATTTCAAGGCTGAAATGATCATAAACACCGATTTTGCATAGCAAAGCTTGCTTGTAAGCTTGTAAGCAAAGCAAAGCAAAAGCAAGCAAAGCAAAGCAAAGCAAAGCAAAGCAAACCAAGCAAAGCAAAGCTTGTAAAGGAAAATTCATTTCGGAAAACTTTTCGAGAAGAAAAAAAGCCTTCCAGAAAATCTTTTAAAGAACTTATTTTTTGAGAAATCCATGGGTGGAGCCATAATTATTCGTTAAAAAAACCCTTTTCAGTCGCCAGCTCAAGTGGCTCTTCGATGGGCGATTCAAACCGGACTCGTCGTCATCCCGAAATCAACGAGTGAACACCGAATCAAGGTGGGGGAAATACCTGAATATTACAACCATAATATTTGCTAATTACCGTGCTTTAATAGTGACTTGTCAAACAGTTGCTGAATGAATCCAGGCAATCATCAATTTTCAGGAAAACGGAGCCCTCTTCGACTTTGAGCTTTCACAAGGGGAACTGGCGGAAATCGATGGCTTGGATAAGAATTGGCGAATTCTCGATTTGACCCAACGAGATGGCGATCATCCACATTTCCCATTCTCGGAAGAATTCTGATTGTTTGATTGTTTTCTTTTTTTGATTCAATTTCAGGTATTTTTTCTAAAGTTGTGATTTATTTCAAACACAAATTCTTTATTTGCACAAATTTTTGCACTAAATACAACGGAGAATCCGATAACTGACATCACTATTTATGAAAGCATTACTAATCACAGTTGACGACAAAAAGACACCAAAGTTTCGCTACAATCTCCAATCTATGTATTCACCGTTTGCACAGTCCGGTTTTGGGAGCACTTTCCATGATCAGCTTTTGCACCTAGAAAGAGAAATCATTAGATAAAAGAATCCGATAAGTGACAATGGTGAAATCACGATTTATCACAGTTGACGCCAAAAAAGGCACCAAAGTTCCCTGCCAATCTCTCTGAATTGTGGGTGATCGGCACCGCCGAGAAGTCCCAAAATGACACATTCACTTGTGGTGAGCACGGCGCCGCCTTGAGATAATTATTAAGATTAGATTCAAATTCGATAGATTTAAGGAAGAGGCCGATTTCAGATATTTCAGCCGATCAGCCGATTTCAGCCGAACATGTTAAATGTTGAGATAAAGGGAACACCAGAAATTCGAAGCGATTTGAAGCAATTTTAAGCGATTTTTTGATCGTGACTCTCTGGTTGTTGATAGGGAGAATAGTTCGATAGGAATTTCTTTTTTTCCTTTTTTTTGTCGCTTCCGCCGAGTAGCTGAGGTTGATGCCTTTTGCATTCGAAAATCATCACAAAAATCACTCGCATTTCTCGTGATTTCAATTTTTCACCTGCCAAAGCACGCTCACGACCAAAAAGCACTCGAGTTTACTGTCCGAATGCGAGCGATTCCCGGAGCTACTCGACGATCTTCGAGATTTCCGGTGTCATTTCGATCGTTCACGACTTTCACGACTTTCTGGCCATTTTCCTCCTTTACCGGGCCCGATGCTGAGGAAATATTTGGTGATTCGATGCGGAAGCGTTGTGAGTAGTTGAAAGTTTTCCGAACATTTCGCTGAGCCAACCCATTTTTCGCTTTTACCCCGAAAAACTCAACGGGAAATACGCTTTGTAAAGGCTTAAATGTGGTGTCGAAGGCTTAAATGTCGTGTCAAAGGTAAAGCTTCGTCATTTTTCGAAATTTTCGAAACATCGAGTTTTCATTTTTCGATCATCATTATCAATTTATCAACAAACAAAACGATAGAAGGAAAACGATAGAAGGAAAGCAATAGAACGAAGACGATAGAACGAAGACGATAGAAGGAAATTAAATAGCTTTCAAATAATTCGTTGGTCATCGAAAATCTTGAGTTTTTGCTATGATTTTCGTTAAAAAAGATCGATTTTTATCAAAAATTGTGCGTTTGATAAAGCTTGATTGAAATCTTTGTTGATGACATCGATTGAAGAGCTTCGGCAAGGAAAGCCTTGTTTGATTTTGGCTGATTTTGGCTCTTATGAAGGAAGTGACTTTTTGTCTTCTTGCCAAAATAATCTTTTTTCATTTTTCCTAAGGCGCTTTCTTTCTGCTCCTGACTCCTACACATTTTTCGGGGCTTTTCGTAGCGCAATCATTTTCACAACAGCGAAAAGAGTGCAAAAGAATTGGAAAATTCCTTTTCGTTTGCTATTGATTATAAAAATTAATTCAAAATTGATTCTAGATTCAAAATTGATTCAAAATCGGAATGCAAGTCAACGAAGTGGTTTCTTTTGAAGAAAACGCCGAATCGATCGGACACGGCGGATACGGAAGGGTTTTTCTGCTCCGGAATCACACTCCGTAAGGGATTTTTGTATGGCAATTGCTCGGTTTTAATCATTTTTCAATCTTTACTGAATCTTTAAAAAAATTTACAGTCAAGCTGTGATCAAATTGATCGATTGTGACGAGGCCGCTTCGGCGGAGATTCTCCGAAGAGAATACGAGACTTTGGAGAAGCTCTCGCATCCGAATGTCGTCTCGTACATCGGCCTTCGAGAAGTGCAGAATGATTTGGGAAGGAAAACGGGCATTCTCATGGAATACTGTCCGAGGGGCGCATTGAGAAAAAGTTCGTTGCACACATTCAACTTTCTTAAAAATCAGTATCAGCGCCATTTCAGCTGCACAAAGAGCTTTCCTTGAGCTTCAGCTTTCCTTGAATCAACGTTGTTGATTCAAGGAAAGCTGCGTTACTATGTTTATTTGCAAGGCTTGGAATCTGTTTTGAATTTGCTTCAAATCTTCAATTTGGATCTAGGCTTGGATCCAGGCTGAGTCTCGAACTGCCATACTGTTTTTGACCTTCCGAGCCGATTGGAGAGAACAAAGTCTCTCTGTGTCGCTTTGGAAACCGTGTCGGCGTAGTGTAGTGGATAGGGAGTTCGAATACGAAACTGACCGAATCTTTTCCCCCCGAATTCGAGTCCCATCAACGGCACCATTTGCTTTTTTGAACCTTTGCACACTGGAAAACACTGGAACAACTGGAGTTGGAAACTTCAGAACTTGTCATACACACCAAAAAGAACCTGAATCTTCAAATTATTGGCATTTTTGTGCAAAAGTTCAGAAAAGCAAAAGCTTGGTGTTGGTGGGACTCGAACTCGGGGGAAAAAAGTCGGTCAGCTTCGTACCCCAACCAACCATCCACTGCACCACTAAACCACGCTTTCGACGGCGACGAATAAAGCCTTTGTTCTCTCCGCTCTTTCAAAGTTTAAAATTTGCCTCCTTTTTTGGAATCAAAATTTATATTGAAAATTACAAACATTATAATTTCATCAGATCGGAAGCTTTGCAGCTGAATTTTTCAAAACACTTTGCTCTGAACCCCTTCTAACAACCCTTCTAATAACCCTTCTAACAACCCTTCTAACCAACAAATTTGGGCCCGATCCGAGGCGGTAAGAGCTAAAGCCGAGACGTTGCTCTCGTTCAGTCTCAGTCGATTCCCCAATTCCAGTCCTACTCGATCCCCGATACATCTACTCGATGAACACGGTCTTTTGCTGGATCGAGCAACTATTTGATGCTGTGGACTATTTGAAGCGAAACGACACAATCCACCGAGACATAAAGCCGGAAAAGTTCGTGCATTTCTCCGGCAAAACCAGGCAAAACCAGACAAAAAAAAACCCTCAAATGTTTCAGCATCTTTGTGACCGAGGATTTTGCTTTGAAGCTCGGTGACTTTGGAAGCAACAAGATCAGTGAAATGACTTGTGCTGGCACTTTCGTTGGAACGTTTCGATATATGAGCCCTCCACAGAGTGAAGAGATGGCGAGAAGTTCGACGATGGAGGTTTGAGAGATTCTGATATCTGATTCTGATGGGAGTTCCAAATTTGAACAAATAAACAAATTTTTGAGAATCTAGGGAAAAAAATCGGTGGGATCGGCCTATTCGAGCATAAGAGTTGAAAAAAATGAGTCAAAAATCGACTACCCAATCGAATCCACTGCTCCACGCCTAGAGCAGTGGATTCGATTGGGAAAAGCTTCGATTAGGCTTATAAATATCGAATCATCTTGAGGATTTCCCCATCAAAATCATCGATTCTCACGAAAATGTAACGCTAGTAGAATCGATGATCGCAAAAATATCAATAGTCATCTCAATAATGACGAAACTGTTGAATCTATAGAAGAATTTTCTTAAAACTCATTTGAGAAATTGTTGATTTCCCGAGACAAATTGTTTGATTGATGTTGATTTCTCGAGAGATTGTTGATTTCCGAGAGATGGTTGCTTTCTCGAGAGATTGTTCCCACTCTAGGCCTCTCACCGAAACGACGTCTATAGTTTGGGCTTGGTTTGCTGGGAGTTGGTGGAACGAAGGTTTCTTGGCTTTCCAATTTATTGAAAAAAACGTTCAGGCATGCTTTCGCCGAGTACGGAATCACTCATTTTGATCATTATCGCTTCTGGATCGACATCTACGGGAAAGTTCTCGGGAACATCGAAGAGCCCACGTGTCAGGGCACGCTCAAAGAACTCATTAAAAGGTTCGTGAAACTTTTTTTTTGAGTCACTTTTCGCTATGAAAGATCAGAAAGGGTCTACAAGGGTCTTCAGACTAGCCTAATCCTCAAAATATGCCGCAAAATTCGCTCAAAACCAATTAAGTGCATTAAGTGTGCATTTCAAATTTGCCTTGTCTTTTGATGATCTTTCAGATTTGATTTGACTTTTGATGATCTTTCAGAGCAGCCAAGTTGACAGCCGCAATTTAGTCGGAATTTAGCCGCAATTTAGCCGCAATTTAGCCTCAATTTAGCCACAATTTAGCCGCAATTTAGCCGCAATTTAGCCGCAATTTCTCTTTTCGTTTCCAGTTGCACGACCTTTGATGCGACGGCACGACCGATCGCCTATGAAGTGACGGTGCTTCTGAAACAAACGCGATTCGTACGTTTGCACGGCACCGAATGAATTTCCTTTCGATTTAGAATGACCGCGAGCTAAGGAAATACGACTTTCTCCCGCTGATCGACGAGCATCAAAAGGATCTGATCAGACCTATCGGGTTTGATGGAACAACGAAACTCACGCCGATCTATTGCTTGTTCTCCGACGCTCCCAGCATTCAGTTCGATTCGAATTTCGCAGATTCTGAAAATCCTGAAACCACTGGAGCTCTTGTTCAAGCAGAAACAACTTTGAGAATAAAGAATTTCACAAAAATCGATCTCCATGTGAAAGAACGGGACAAATTCATGAACAAGTTTGCTTCGCTGAATCAAGAAGAGAAGCAGAGATTCATTGAATCCGTTCCGGGGATCCTCGAAAAGAGAAAAGAGCTTCGAATCGTCTTTCACTCGTATGATGACACGGATGTGGAGCTGGGTAGCGCAGAGAAGAAAGGTGGCTCAATCGAGGCTTTATTTGAGGATGTGCTCGCCCAGGATCTCTACATGCAGATGCACCAGTTCCATGAGGCTTTCCAAACCCTCCACCAGCTCTCCTCATTGACTTTGGAGTTCTGGCAACCGCATCGGCAGTTGGCCGAGATGATTGAGTGGCTGACGGACATTCGGAAGACATGCTACACGCAGCGGGTCTACTTCCGCTGTTATATGTCGGCGCACACCAACGAGGAGTGGCTGCTGGTAGGGAAGGACGACCAGAGTTTCAATCGGAGCAGCTTCATCAGGAAAGACCTTGACATGATACGGACGATCTATGGGAAATGGGTGGAGACCCTGACAAGAGAAGTGTTCATCTCGAGAGATGCGTGGAGAGTCGAACTGAAGAGGCTGAAGGATTGCGAGTATGTCAACGAAACTGACGAATCCGATCAAGGAGGCGCCGATTTGGAAAAGATCGAGAAGTACGACGAGTTCCGCTTTCTGCGCGAGGAGCCCATCGACATCTATATGCTCATTTCGGCGATGGAACGGGCAATGGTACGACTGGAGAACGCGATTCGCTGCCAAGTCTCGAATTGGGTGCCCCCGGAGATGCTGCTGCCTGACTCGCCAACTATTTCAAAGCGACTGGCGCTCGATTTCCCGATACCCGGCTACATCTTTCAGGTATCAAAATGGGCTTTGTCGATTGTGAAATTCATCAGTTGTTAACGTCGCCAATTGTAAATTTGTCCTTTCCTCGTCATTTGCATCTGAATTAGCAAATTTACCATTGATGACTTTATCATTGGCGACCAATTGGCGAACTTAACAATGGCAAATTTCACTTTTGATTGACCATGCAAGATTGACCATTGACGAAACTCAAATCAGTCATCAAATTCCATATTTCAGCTGAGGAACCCGCCCCGATCAGTGTGCATTCATCAACCTAAATGCCCGACGATCGGGGAATTGCCGAGTTTCTTCGAGAAGTCTTTCAATTTTCCGGAAGGCCACCAACAACTATTCGAGTACGAGTGCGCCGACGAGAGGTTGCGCGAATATATCCACAATTTTCACTGCTTCTGTGACACGCTACAACGGGCTGCCGGCATGTGGGCCGGTGCTGCGAGCGGCTTCTCCATTCTCGATGAACCACCCCAGCTTGAGGGAGGAAAAAACGAGACGGAACGAATTTTGCCCTATTATTTCATCTTTTTGCTGATCGCCAAGGGGCTACCGGTGACCGATCCACGGGCCTTAATAGTGCTGCTCGATGATCCGAAGAATTATGAGCCAGGCGAACGGATTCCGTGCTTCGATGAAAACAGATTTTACACGATCAGTGCTGGAAGCGCAGCCGAGGAGCTGAAGCGAATGGATGCGATGAATTCGAAACTGTTTCTGATGGCCGACTGGACGAGACGGGGCTGGATTCTGAGGGAAGACGGACAAGTGTGGAAGCCAGAAACGAGCTCATAAATAAAGAAATTTCAATGAAGATTTCCCTTTTGATTTTCGTACAGTGTAACAAGACACCACAATGCATGGGTTTTCGGAAAAAAAGCACTTCTGTAGAGAACGATAGTTAAAGGAGGGGGGCACATCCGCGCGAAACTGCGTTTTCTATCCGATCCACATGTTTGAGTATACATTCGATGCAGAAAAATGTCCTGAATGCAATGGTGAAAAAATTATCAAAATCCGCCTTGTGGCTTTTTTTAAAAATCGCATTTTATTTTTAAAAATCCGTCATTTTACACAGGGACTGCCGGACTCACCTGTATTTGGCCCTCCACTACCCGGTGAGAACAGAAAATTCGGAAATGCCAGGGAGTCGACTTTGTGAAATTGTTGTCTGCGGTCATTTTGAGACCAAAATCGTATGAATTGGTCAACTCAAAAACAAAGTTATAACAGTTTGAAGACAAAAATGACGTCTTAGACGAAAGAGGTATTAATCGCGGCCGGGGGTGACATGACATGATGATGACAATCGGAGAAACGGTTACAAAGATGCCCAGATTGTGGGAAACTTCCACAAAATAGGACAAGAAAGAAAGATTGAATGGAAAACATGACAGCCATCATCCGTTTTGATTCTACTAATTATTCTCGAACTCGTTGGTCCAAGTAATTGTTTATTCCCGGCACTGAGGCACGAACTGGTAACCTTGTCTTGACTGCCACTTTGGCTTTGTCGAATCACGAATTGTAAGTCACTTACACAATTGTTGCGCCTTGGTTAGCCTTGATCAAAAACTAGTTTTTTAAAAAGATTGATTGACATAAACTCATTTTTATCCGCAATACAACCATTAACAACATTAATAAAATTAGTTAGCAACTGTCTGAATTTCAAGATACAACAAACAAACTAAATGAAAAACAAAGTCAAACAACAATCAACTTAAACAAAACCTCTTTTTACTACGCACATAATGCATGTTACTGAAAGCGTCATTCTGAAATTGAAAAGAGCCAAAACCAGAAACGAAAAGATCACTTGTTAGTAGAAGTTCTTGCATGGTGGCATCTCGAGTTGCAAAGTAGACTCTTCTTTCGAGAAGCACATCGATTTGTCGTACATCCGCTCAGGCACAAGCAATGAGCGTGACCTAAAATTATAATATTTTAGCTGAGGTAAAAACATTTGAATTTGTAAGAAAAAGAAAAAAGAAAGATTAACAAGAAAGATTATAGGTGCAAATAAATGTACTTACCTTGGCTCCCAGAGATCGATGATGCCCCAACAACAGTTCTCAACGATGTCTCCCCGTCCGGAATTGAATTGATCGAGAAGAATTCAGCTCCACATGGAGCCAGTTGATTCCTAGTGAATGTTTGCCGAAGATGCCCATTTTGTCTCCCGATCGAGTAAAAACCATCAGTTACAGCTAGAATTTCTTTTTACCTTTAGAAATAAATTTTAAAGTACCTGTGATGATTCCCAACAAATTTCGTGGTCCAATCTTGGGTCGATCGACACAAGGAATTGGCATCAAAACATTTTGTCCAACATCAATTGGTGTAAATCTAGAAGTAATCATAATGAAAACATTGAAAACGCAAAAGTACCTTTGTTCACTGGCGTGAAGCACCTTTCGTGCCTGATTCTCCTGAGCAGAATGGGCTCCATGTCTTTCCATCATAATCGAATCGTGTAGACAATCGATTTCCGCTTGCTCCTCATCTTTTTGAACACCTAAAGCCAAATAATGCTTAGTAAATATTTTAAAAAGCAAACCAAGTATTGGACCAACAATCCCAAGTTGAAAGTCGGCGCCATTACTCCTCTGATTTGCGAATTCAGGAAATTTCTAAACAATAACGTTATTTTTATGTATTTAAAACGTAATTTATACCTCAACACCACTCTCAATTGAATCCATGAAGCTTACAGGTCGTAGATCGGCGTAACGAGTAGAATTATCTTCCTAAAGTTGCAAATAA